CATCAGAGACAACTGCTATTCAGACCACTATAATTTTTTCCTTTCCACTGTTTGTGTACCTCTGTCTTGCCAGTAACACTACTGAATAATGAAATCAATAATCTAGAGATTGAAAAGGCATGGCCATTAGAGATACCAAATGTCAGGAGTGACAGCAGATCACAGCACAGGTTCCCTAGAGACCAGCTACCATATGATTGTTGACACCACAAAGGAGTCCTCGAGGAAGTGGTGATGGTGATGATGAAAGGTACCTCCTCTGGGGGAGCTGGGGAAAAATGGTGTATCAGAGAGAGAAGGCTGGGATTCCTCAGTCAGAAGCATACAACAGAAAAGACAAGAGAAAACTCTGTGTCTATATGAATTCAAATTAGTTTTGTCATGTTTCTTACTGCAGTCCCAAATGTATCTTTCTTTTGGGAGAATCATTCCAATATCCTAGAAAATTTTGCCTCTAAAGGCAAACTGTGGAAGATATGAAGACTCAAATCCCTAATGGAAATCCATGAGAACTGATAAATGCCACAAAACCAAAGGTCTAAAGCACCTAATATCCAGTTCCTCAGCACGCAGTCAATCATCAAAGTCAGAGTTTGTCATGAGACAAAGTCTAGTGTTATTGTAAAGTCTGCTACCAATCCATGGGCAAAACAGTTTAAGTGGTAGGACATAGCTGCTACAGAATTTGAGAGATTTTGTGAGATACATATAAAGCATTTGTGTTGGCTAAAATTCTTCACCCAACCACTTCATGCCCAGAAAAATTCTAATAAAACACTATGAAAAATACCACCAATGTCTGGCTTCTGTATGGTCCATCCCATCCACAGATTCTTAGCTTGCATAAAGCAGCAAGCCTTGGACTTCTGAGAAGGTGGCAGTGGTTGAGATGTCTGTGCAATGAAAGGCAGCACACCTGAGGGCTAGCTAATAAAATACTTCCAAGACTGAGCCTGTAATTAATAAGTTTTGCTTCCTAACGTGCCATCTCATTTTTTGGCTGGTGTTATACACATTGACCTGTCTGAATGTTCATGTGTGGGGCCTATTTCTGCTTCATCTGATGCCAGATGAGAGCTTTTGTATGAGTGTATAGGAGTTTGAATTCTAAATAGACAGTGGGGTGCCCATAGCAAAAAACATGACTTAGTGTTTTAGCCAGGTGGACATAATTTAGTTTATAGCTCAAGCAGCCTTTAAGGAATACTTCATGTTATCAGGATAGATATTCATTAGTCAGCTTGGCTGTATTGTTGAAAATTGAACTGTAGCAGCAAGAATGACAGCAGAGATGAACCACATAATCATTCAAGCAGCTTTTTTGGGTTTGTGACATTAGCAGTCAAATGAAGTATTGTTATGTTTGGTGTCAGATGCAGTTATGTCAGAATAAACATGTTCTTAGCCAAAGAGACAATTTGCTGCAATTCAAATTACACTCAACAGCAAAAGGCCTATTTAGTCTACTGATGACAGACTTTTGCCCCAAGGACCATGAGCTCCCTTATCTTTGAACAGAGTAGTGTGAAATGCAATTATTTCAATGGCACTGATGTTCATTATTAAAATATAAAACCAATAAAAAATAAAGTTTAAAAACCCCTTCAGAGAGTGTTTCCATTTATTTCCGTAGTGGTGACTTCAGTTTGTTTTATACAGAACAGAAGAGACAAATGACCCTCCTGGTGTTCTTTCACTTACTGGATTTTAAATTTTAGGGAGGGATTGCATTGCCTGAACACACGAAGATACATTACAATAAAAACAACAGCCTCATTTTATGAAATGTTTTCTGAGTTTTGCAGTGAGAAAAAATTTTAATGGATTTAAATCTTAGTCTATTTTTTCTATATGTTTTTTAAAACACATCTCATTCCCTTCTCAGTGGTTTTGCTTCAAAGCATTTCTGTATTCTTTTACTCAAGCTGTTCTATTTCCTTAATTGAAATCCTTGTGTTCTGTTTATTGTACTTACTCTCTTTTTGCAATGTCATGCCTTCACACAAACAAACACATGCATACAAACAAAGTCATCCAATCCAGAGTGCCTTTGATGTGCTGAAAAATGTATTCCCTGGAAGAGGATAATCTTTACACAATGGTTATCTTGCTACTCCAGTGTTCTCATGTCCTGACAGTCTTCATCAATAAAATAAGAGTTATGAGGAATTATTTGACATCTTTGTGAGCTTGGGGCTCCAGATGGAGACCATCAGCTTGGTGTTGAGACTGGAGATGCACAGGATAGCCAGGCTCTGCTAATGCCAGATTTTCCTACAGAGCATATCCGATGCACAAAATGTATTTTATACAGCTATAATGGAAAGTTATGAATGAAAAGAAATGAAAATAATCAGCATTTGTTTATTAATTTAGAATGATTATTTTTTAGTGTTCACATGTATTAGTGCTCACATGTATGTAAAATGCTTCAGAGAAGACTGATATAGCTCTGACTGATTTAGTCATCTGAGGTGGACACACAACAGCATGGTGAGGCAGAAAGCTTTTAGCAAGGCTGGGCTTATAGCATGTGTGTACATATAAATACATATAAAAATATGTGCGTGTATGTGTGTATTTATGTACATACACTTATATGTAGAACATGTCAGGGACCAAGGCAGTGCTTTCCATTGCTCTACCCACTGTTCAATGCCTCACCTTGCATCTGTCTGCAGTGTGAGTAATCCCATGGATATTTGTAGTTATCACTGTGAGTTCAGGACACTGAGTGACATGTAGGCTCTATTTTTGATCTTTTATAGGTAATTATTATATTTTTATGGTATAACAGGGGCATTTTGAGGTTTGCTTTGCCCATGTTTATGCAATGTTTGAAATTCCTGTATGTATTAACCATTAAAAAGTGAAGTATTATGTATCACTTAATTTGCTGCTGAAATGGAGATCCTCATGACTAATGACAAAATGGAGGAGAAAGAAGATCATATGTATCTGAAAATTCAGACATTTCTGAAAAATTGACATTTTGTAAATGAATAACTCTGCTGTACATCATTTAAATCTAAACCTAGAATAGGAAGGTGAGAAACAGGCAAAATTCACAACTCCCTACATCCCTGACTTCCCAGGCTCAACATCACTCTTGTCTCCCACCTGCTCTACATTCCCACCCCTCTGAGTGGCACAGGGGGACAGGGAATGAGAGTTCTGGTCAGTTCATCACCCTTTTTCTCTGATGCTCCTCCCTCCTCATGGTGTTCCCCTGCTCCAGCACAGGTCCTTCCCATGGGTTTCAGTCCTTCAGGAACAGACTGTTCTCTGTGGACCACAGCATGGGTATCTGCTCCTGCCATGGTCTTGCATGAGCTGCCAGGGAGCAGCTTTTGTCACCGTGGTTCCCACCACAGGCTGTGGGGGGAGGAATCTCTGCTCTGGCCAGCTGTGGGTGCATTTTGGAGTCAGATGAAAATGGTTCTGGTCAATGCGAGTGTACTCTTCTTACAAAAGCCACCCCTGCAGCTCCCCAGTTTGCCACGTAAACTCAGGTCTCTTATTCTGAACTGATGAGTACAACAATTTTGTATCACAGAATGCTTACTTGAATTTTTAAATAGTCGTCTTGACCATATGGGTAAGAACATTACAAGGAAGTAGTGGGAACATTCTGGCATTAAAAAAAAAAAAACCCAAAAAAAAAACCAACAAAGATTTTACTCTGCCTAGCAATACATCTATTGCCCTTAAAAATATCTTTATAGGACAATGTGGATATCATTCCACATCCAAAGCAATGTGAAGTCTCAGCTGTACATGTCCAAGAGTGTCACTGCTTCAGACAGAAATGTGCTTTTTATGAGACCTTCAGCTCGGATCCCTGCCTGAGCGTACCCACTTTTGCTGTGCTCAAAGGCACACGTGCTAATGACCTACATAGGACTGGAGTTCTTGAGAGGCATTGTATACAGCCTGCACTTTCCTTCTGGCTGCTGCTCTTAACATGTCAGCAGCGCCACAGCTACTGGCTTACAGCAGCCTTGCAGCGTGCCTGCAGTTGTCTTTCTTACATCGAGGTCTGCAATTACAATGCAGTGGAGCCGAGTGACTGTAAATACAGTGCAAACATCAGCCTTATGCTGGGTTCTGAAATCTTCCCATGTGGCTTCTTCTACAAAAAAAATGTCACAATCATTGATTCTGTGCAACTAATTTTTTTAGCTATAATTAGGCTGGTTTCTAAGTTGAGAGTTATTTATTCCACAACAGTGTTGTCATATAATAGATGCATGCCTATGGGTAAGAATGTGAGAGCATGCAACTCCTTACACAGGAAAATTCAATCTGGGACCTTGGAAAATTAGGGAACTTCTGTTTTCCAATAAATACAAACTCCTATTACAATCTGCAGCTTTTGTCAAGGCATTTTCAAAGTGTTTCTTACATTTGTCTGGGTAACTTCTCACAGACTTCCCAATTTACTGTGTCTTTTATGCCCATTGAAGAGGATCAGGGCAGTGCTTTTTCTGAGCAAGACAGCAAGATGTTTCAGGAACTTGATATTGCTTATTGGTCCAGTCATCGCTATTCATGATAAATGAAGAGCAGAAGCTAGCTGTACTAGTTTAAAAAGCCAAACCCAAACTTTGCAACTTGCTCCTTATGCTGAAAATCTCTTCCTCGTGTCCTTTTCTAACAGGACTTCTAATAGTAGTTTCTATTTCCATCTTTAGTTTGGCCACAAGATGGCAATAACTTGCAGACAAAATGAAACAGGCAGACCGATTTGAAACTGTCTCCCTTCCTGAGCTTTTCCCAGCGCTCTGCCCCCAGCCCCCCTCTTTTGTTTCAATATTTAATTGCATTTCTTTCGGAATTACTAGGCAACCCACCCCCAGATGTGCAGTTTAAAGGTGATGCGCTTGCAATGTTGTTTTCAGGATCTACTCCGTAGGGCACCATCATGTGATACTGGGGTAAGGTGGAGTTCAGCTTTAAGGGGGAGTCTCCAGCCTTCCTCACCAATCTTTAGGATCTGACTGGAGAAATACCAAAGGATCCTTCTCCTTTCCCAGCTCCTTCTCCATCCAGCCTCCTGGGCCAGCCCCCCGAGCAGACCAAAGACGGGCAGAGCAATTGCAAGGTGAGTTTCCACTATGGTTGCTTTTCCATGACTCTGGGTGCTTGTGTGCCAGTGAGGCTGGTGTTTGCTTGCTGTCTTAGGTGCAAGTGACAAAATCCAAGGGAGGATTAGGTTCCAGGTAGAACTTCTGAGCAGCTGGGTGAACCTTCAGCTTGGGCTGACAGCATTTTGCTCTTGCTTTTGAACAGCTCCGATAGTTTAACTGTACATTTCCATTCACCTCACAGCACGTTATTTCACCCTTTTTGTCTGCTGGTGCTAAACTTTTGCCCAAAATCTCTCATGGAGAGTCAGGAGGGTATGCTTGTGTGTGACTGTGCAATCACCCAGAGGGGTTTGAAGGGCTATGGGTTTTCCCTATGCCAAGACATCACTCAGAGTGGGGAGGGATCTCCTTCCTGACTTAGGAGACAAGGAGCAGTGCAGCTGTCTAGGAGATTGAACTTTATGTCTCTCTGTTGTCTGGTCCATTTCGCAGAAGGACAGGAATGATGGGGACTCCCCTTCACTTGGCAGTGGTGGACTTGCTGCTGGATACACTCCTGCACACATCAGAGAGGTTGCATCTCTGCTAAGGGAAAAATGAGGGGAGAAGGAGCAGTAGCATGTTCTGGTTTTGAGTTTGATATTTAATAAATAAGCAAGAGCACAGCTTGGCTATGGGAGTAGAAAAACCAAGACACCTTATCGCTGGGGGCAGTTTGGTCCCGGCTGGTGAAGGAACCTGCCCGGTTCCCTCCTTGCAGGACACAGCTCCTTGCCTGCTCTTGCCATCATTCTATCAAGTCACAGGGCTGGAGTGCCCACCTTGTGCCACACAAGTGGTGGTGGGGTTCATGATTAAATCCAGGTGTTGATTTTCAGACTCTGATAAAGTTACACTGTGGGAATTGAGGAGCCCCGGCTCTCCGCATCAGCCACACACTTTACATTTGGGTAAAGCACTTCTGGCTGTGACAGAAGTGATGCTTCAAGGAATCTTGGGGTAGAAATTTCTTTACTAGACCTTAAAACAGATTTGTTGGACTAGGAGATCTGATAAATTAAGTTAGCAGAAGGTCTGAGAGGTAATACTCAGGTGCATACCTAGATAGCTTGAAAATCAGAGTAATCACACAGACAGAGAAGCCTTTTGTCTGAAATCACTGCTGTTAACTCTCACAGTAAAATGCCTCTTAGAGGCGAGCTCCACTGCCTGTCACAGTTTCATGTAGCCTTGTGCTGACTGAAAGAGCCAGAAGAGCCAGCAGGGGCTAGCTCCTGACAGCAGTGACAGGCATGGCATTGGCTATATCACCCTTTGGCTGACCCTCGGGAGGAGCTGCAGCTGCAAGCCCAGCCCTCACACACTGCCCCAGCTCTGGCGCCCAGCGTGAGGCTGCTAAAAGGGTGTCTGCCACCAGTAAGAGACAAAGACAATTCTTCTCCAGAGATTTACATAGCACAGAGATTTATATCGAGTATCATTTAAGAACAAAAGCTCACCTATTCAGGGTAACTTCTATTGAAGTACGTTTTAGTGGGCAATGTTTTTACAGCTTTTCTGATAAATGCCATATGAAGTCACATTTGAAACCCACTTGTGTGAATTTTAAGTGGCATTACTTCCATTACCATAAGGTTAAGCGAGCAATAAATTTAGCTCACAGGAGTGGGCAGAGAGAAAGTTCCAGACTCAGTGTGGAATGCAGAGCCACTAATGATGCCCAGATTCAGTGGCACTAATGGCAAGTTGAAGTAAAGGTGTGTCAGGTTATCAATTAATTGATTTTTAATTGCATATCAACTAATTTGATTTTACTTTTTATTTGCCTTCTGAACACATATGCTTGATTTTCGAATTTTTAAAAGCCAAGGCCTTGCAAGGGAGTGGTTATTTAAGCATGCCTATTTCCCTTGCATGGCTAAAGAAATTTTCTGGGGTATTTAAAATTTGCCGAGTTTTGTCTTTTGTCCTGTATTCTTCTTTCTTTGCTGCACAGCCCTGCTAGCTAAGATTAAGATGTTCAGAATTCCTGATTTACCTTTGACTCAGTGCCAGCGCTGCTGAGGTCACTTGGCCGCTCAACATCAAGTATATGTGTTTCGGAAAAAAAAAAAAAGCAGCAATTGAGTCATTTTCCCACCCGTCACATTAGTCAGATGGGCTTTCCCCTCCTCCTCATGTGACGCCTGGATATAATTTCATTTAGAGCAGTTTAAGAAAGCAGACCTTTGCAGATCAAACTTGTGGAAAGGAGATGTAAAACATAAAGTGGAGGCTGCGCTGGTGGGAAGGCTGAAATCGCTTCCCGGCTCGCTATTCCGTGCGACTTGTGCCGGCGGGAACGGGCCGGGCAGGACGCGTGTCCCCGCTGCCGTCCTGCGCCTGGGTCCTGCCCGCTGCCTCTGCGCGGCCCCGCGGAGCGGCGGGAGCGAAACGAGGGAGCGGAGCGGCGGGAGCGGAGCGGCGGGAGCGGAGCGGCGGGAGCCCGGCGGGGAGCGGCGGGCGCGGGCGGCTCCGCTGCCGCGGGACAGGGGAGCGCCGCTCTCCGCCAGGGGCAGGCGCTGTGCCCGGCCGTGACAGGCCCCGCTGCTTCCCTTGTCCCCAGGTGCGGCGAGGGAGATGCGGCGCTGAGACTGAGGAGCGGGCTCGGCCCGGGCTCCGCTGCGGGGCCGGCGGGCGCGTCCTGAGCTCGGAGCGCTCTGGATGAACGCGGCGGCGGCGAAGGTCGGCGGCGAGTTGGAAAGAACATGAATACCTCGGTTCTCGCCCCACTGGGAAATATTTCCGGTCACCTGAATTTTTCGGAGATGAACTCGCAGATCTTGCAGTTTGATGACGAAGATTGCCATGTGCCTTTGGCCATGGTCTTCACTTTGGCCTTGGCTTATGGGACGGTGATAATTCTGGGGGTCTCTGGGAATCTGGCCTTGATTGTCATCATTTTAAAGCAAAAGGAGATGCGCAATGTTACCAACATCCTCATTGTCAACCTGTCGTTTTCTGATCTCCTAGTGACCATCATGTGTCTTCCCTTTACCTTCGTGTACACTTTAATGGACCACTGGATTTTTGGGGAGGCCATGTGCAAGCTGAACCCTTTTGTGCAATGTGCCTCCATCACCGTCTCGGTCTTTTCTTTAGTCCTCATTGCCATTGAGCGCCATCAGCTGATCATCAATCCCCGCGGCTGGAGGCCCAACAACAGACATGCCTACATGGGGATTGCTGCCATATGGATTTTAGCCACAGCTTCCTCCTTGCCTTTCCTGATCTACCACGTATTGACAGATGAGCCCTTCAGAAATGTAACATTTGATGAATATAAGGACAAATATGTGTGCTTGGACCTGTTCCCCTGGGACACTGCCAGGCTTTCCTATACCACAACGCTTTTGGTGATTCAGTACTTTGGACCACTTTGTTTTATATTTATTTGCTACCTGAAGGTAAGATAGAATGCTCTTGCAATATGTACTTCATTCTACCTGATGTTTGTTTATTCTTGCAAAGATGACAGTGGTAGGTTCATTTACCCCATGTGTTTCTCTTTGTTGAATTTCCTGCAGATATACATACGGTTAAAAAAAAGGAACAACATGATGGACAAGATGAGAGACAGTAAGTACAGATCCTCTGAAACCAAAAGGATCAACATCATGCTGATATCAATAGTGGTCGCATTTGCAGTTTGCTGGCTGCCTCTCACCATCTTCAATATCGTGTTTGATTGGAATCATGAAATTCTGCCTGTTGCTACCTGCAGCCACAACCTGTTGTTCCTGATTTGCCACCTCACTGCCATGATCTCCACCTGTGTGAATCCCATCTTTTACGGGTTTCTCAATAAGAACTTCCAAAGGGACCTGCAGTTTTTTTTTCATTTGTGTCACTTTCACTCCCGTGAGGAAGACTATGAGACTATAGCCATGTCCACCATGCACACTGATGTTTCAAAAACCTCTTTAAGGCAGGCAAGCCCCATCACATTTAAAAAAATAAATAGTGATGACGATGAAAAAATATGAAGAAGTAATAGAAATTCTACACCAAACTGCAAGAAGTGTGATTGCAGGTGAAGTGTGTCCAAGGACAAGCACAATTACATAACAAGAACAAAAAGAGTAACGTTTTTCTTTCTTTTCCAAGGAACTTTGATTGTTGTCACTTTGAAATTATGCGCTGTGAATTTTGCCCCTTTTACAGCTTTAATGTTCACAAAAGTTATATCTGAATTTTATTTTAAGACATAGTCAGACCTGCTACTACCTATGGTTTTCATCAGCTGTTTTTGTTCTGTTTTCTTTGTACAGTTCTGTGCTTCAGCACAAAGGTTTACTTATTGATTTTTTTTCAAAGAAGTAGTTTTGAGGAGTGTCCATTTAAGACCATTAGAAACAATATGAACCACAGGGGCACTGTCATTACAGACAATATCCACCAAAGAATAAAATTAGGAAATTCTGATTTGAAGAGGACTTTTTTTTTTTTTTAAGTGCATCTTTGATCAACATTAAAATCCTGTAAAATCAGTGTAGGTTTGCAAAAAAAGAATAGTGTGAAACCTATAGAGTATGTTTAAATGGGGCATACAGTTGTCTCATTCAAAGAGGCAATTTGGGCTGTAATCACTTAGTTTCAAAGACAGGATTAAGAAAGAAATTCTGCTCTCATTTACAAGAATAAAACCCTACAGTAATTCCACAGAGCACAATGGGATAACTGATGCTTCAGCACAGCAAATGAAAACATAAATGGGGCTTCAGTCCCAAATGATTACAGCTGGTTTTAATAATGCAGGCTTTTTAATTTAAAAAATCCAAACCCCATTTTTATCTGGCATCAGTGAGAGGGAGTTACTGTTTCTGGGATGAAATGCACCATCTGTTCCGAGCCTATGAACCATGTAAATTCTCCTTGAGACCTATGTCCAGAATCTAGAGGGAGATAGCACTGCTTGCTGTCTGGGCAAGGTGCAATTCCATCCTCACAGGTGACAGAGAAATTCAGGTCTGCTATTAAAAAAGTAAGATTGAGCCACCTGAATATTTTCATAGTAATTAGTGTTGATCTCTATAATTTATTTGCAGCCTCATAATACTTTGTGTTCAGGTGCAATTGCATAAACCTGGACAATCTCCAAAGGCAAAGGATGGTTTAATCAAGACCTGCAAAATTTAAAAGAAGGGTATGAATATAGGTTGGGTATAATTGGTATGTTTAGCTTCCAAACTCACAGTTGGTTGGAGTGTGGAAACATTTGCCAAATATACGCAATAGACCTCTGTTACTGCTTAAAATATATATCCTCTAATTAAACAAAATATTCGTGGCTAGATCCCAGTTGAGGGAAACCATATAACTGGACTGCTGTAAATGAAATTTCAACAATATCAGCCAGCTGAGGTTCTGTGTCATACAGTGTACTTTGCTATGTTATCAATGTCTTTTTGAATAATTGGCTTTTAAAAATACAATATAGACCCTACTTTCCTTCAGCAAGGTCAATTTAAATCATTCTGGCAGACAAGAGGGTCTTTAAAATGGATATAAATGTAAATGCAACAGAAATGGAAATCTGATGTGATATATTTCTAAGCAAAAATATCTCAGGATGTTATGGTGAATTTCATATGTTCCAGATTTGACATAGATAAATGCCTAAGAAATAAAAATTATTTGGGTTGCCAGTATTTAAAAGTGAAACATTGTGCCTTGTGCTGTCTTATAAATAGTGTAGAATATTAAAGTAGCAATGTGTTCTTGTGCATTATAATTCCATGTATTTGTCTACTGGAAGATAATTTAATTTAGAAGGAGTTTTCTGTGCTTGAGAACAGAGGCAGAATGTAGAAAATTAATTATAAGACAGAAGGTTCTTTCAGAGCTTTGGCCTTTTGTATTTTATGAGATTTCCTTTTTTTTTTTTTGTGCTTCTCCATGGAATGTGTTGTTAATAACTTGACAGGGGTTTCCCGAAATTATTTCTCTCTCATGTTGCAACAATTTTCATATTTCAAAGGGTGTGTATTTTCACAATGAGATACAATGTACAAAAACAGCCATGGGGTTTTTTTATTAAGATTGTCACAGTGCGTTTTTTCCATCACAAAAAGTCCCTGTGAATTTTATGGCTTTTTTCCTCCCTTTTTTTTTTTTTTTTAAGCCCTTTCCTTCAATGTAGTGCAAAAAGAAAATTCACTCAGTTGAGAAACTTTCCAGTTACTTTGCTGCAAATTTTTGACCAAGCTGAATTAGGTGCTTATACAGAGTAGGTGTAGAGGAACTTTAGAAGAGCCTGCTGGTGCTCTCTGCTTCACCTGCTTTGAACCAGGTGTGTGTGTCCTAAGATTTGGAGGTCTCCAATGGGATAGCAACCTAATTCTTCCTATGTCAACATTTGTCCTGCTTGAGGTACAGCCTTAAATCATGCAGCCCATCTGGCAGTGTGCCATACCATCTCCTGAGAATGCATGTCAGGTGTTTTTTGCCCCAGCACCTGATCAACAGGGTGAACTGTAAATGGGAGCATTCTTCCTGCTCATCCTTGCTGAGCTCAGGAGTCATTTTCCCTGTGCACCACTGTCCTGGAATCAGGCATCTCATGTTTCCTGACTTCCCCGCAAGAAGCCTTTCTGAGCCTCTGCTGAACACACAGGTTAGTGCTTTGTCACACAAATAGCACAGGGCACACTGCCTGTAATGACAGTGGAAATGAACACAGTGTAAGGACTGTTCTGCAGGAAAATGCATTTGGAGAATTTCAGAGGCAAAATCATGGCTCTTCTGAAGAATTTGTTATGAGGACAGAGATGAAAGTACCTCTCTGAGGTGCTGACCTAACATCTGCAGGGTGTAGCTCAGAGCTACTGAGAGCAGTATTTTTGTCTTTGGTTTCATGACTTGATGCTGGGGTTCTCCAAAGCTTTCCCCTGCCAACAGCCAGCTACAATACTGATCCTCTTTTTCATTTTCAGAGCTCCAGCATGGCTTCTCCTCTATATGCTGAATTTCTTTACAGGAGAATGTGACAGGTTTCGTGTTTCACTATAATTTTTCAATCATTCTGGATTGATATTTATTTCTTCTCCTCGTTGTTTTGTCAAACGTCCCACACTTCAGCACATGTTGATTCCTGTCTCAAAAGCCTGAAGATCCCTTTTATTCTTTCAGACTTGTAGCAAAGTTTTACTGACAGAAAAACAGAACAGTGAGTGATCTATAATGTATCTTATTATTTATGTGTCATATATTTCATATCAAATTTCCAGCCTTAAATGACAAATGTAACTATTTAATAAGCAGCAGTATTTGCTTCATTTGTCAGTTATTTTAGCACCTTAAACGTCACTTTGATCGACCACAAACATTTCTGCATAATCTAAACAAACCAGCACATTTGTATACCATGATAATAAATATGTCTGTGTTCCCATTTTGCTTTTTTCCCAAAAAATGGTTGTGTCATTGTTACTATGTACAGTAATTCACAACTTTCACATCAACATTAAAAAAGGATAATAAAAGAAGTGATTAATTGACAATAAAACCTGCCTTTGGTAGGCTAAGAGAGAACCAGAAAGTTAAAAATCTATATGTATATAATCTACCCTGTCATTATGACCACATAAAGAGAAAAAATTTAAACCAGGAAAACAAATCAACATGACAGAACCCCCGAGGGACTTGAGCTGATGCTGACTGCATCTCATCACTGATGAAGGTGTGAATGGCTAAGGGCTCATATATTCTGACTCTGTGGTCTTGCACTACAGTACCAGCTATTATTAATGGATCCTAAAGGGAAAATTTTATGCTGATTCATATTCAGACTGTAAATCAGTACATGTTTCAATTCAGGCCTGCATATCAAATTCTCATTTTGACCTCAGAGTAATATTTTCAGATCAATGAAACTGAGAACTTAAAGTTAACCATTTGCCTAAATGGTTACTACTAAATAATACTGCATTGCTGGCTGGAAGCTTGCACTCTTTCCTAAAAATAGGATTTTTGGATATTAGCTTCTTACAGAAATAAGGGAATGACATATAGTTGGTTGTTTGCTTGTTTGTTTTTTTTCTGGATCCTTCTCCTTTTTCTTTTTTCTGGGCCTCATAATGCTTCAGTTTAATGCTTTCCTTCCTACTTCTTTGTATCAAAGAACTTACCAAAGCAGTGCATAGAGAATGAAGACAATAAGGAGATTTTATATCTCCTCTTCTTTAAAGCATACAAAACATTAGGAAACATGAGCTTAAATAACATCTCTGTCTGCAACAGATTAAATTAATTCAGTTGAGTGGAAAGGGAAGAGGAATAGTAATTATAACCAAATGATAAATTTTGTTGACAGTCATTTATCAGTTGAAGGATATATACAGCTCCAAGATCTACCATGCCCTCTTCATTCTTGTGTTCTTTAATATGTGGTATCTGCTTCCCTGAGTTATTACTAATTAGCTGAGTCATTACTAAAGTTGATGTGAAAGAAAATTCTTCTCTACAGGTTTTGCAGAATTTCAAATGCTTGAGTACAACATACAAGATGAAAAAAATGTGATCAGCTTTGGCTCTTACACTTTAATTAACCTGTGGTCAGAAATCACTTCTATTCAGTATTTCTGCCCATGCATAACAAACAGTGTTAATGGTCTGATTGAAGTCGATATTTCAAATATTCGGGAGTGCATTCACAAGGACTAACTTCAGCTTTATTTCCTATCTCCAAAGCACTCACACCTACACTACTCTGGTGCTATGCATTACCAAACTGTGTTTCCCTCAGCTGTCCAAACAGCTGCCAAGCGGCAGGACTGCCATCTTCCAGGGCAGCCCTGGGCCTGGGGACTGCTGCCTCCCTTCCTCCACCTTCCAGGAGCTTCTGCTCTCACTTTGTGCTTCATCCCCTTGCTAGCTGCTTTCTGAGGAAGTAGAAATTTGTACTCTGATTTTGTAAAGCGCCTGAGTATACGATAAAATTCAGTTCTATTCAGGACAGTGCTTTAAATAGTTTCTTTCATTAAAATTATCTTCCGGCAAGTGTTTCATAGGCAAGTTTCTCAAAATTTAGAAGTGTATAATTTACAAAGCCTGTGTAGGAAGTATGTCCATATAGAACATCCAGCTCATTGCAGCAAAACTGCCAGCACACACTGTCTTGTGTTTTCCAAGCAGCTGAATTGATGATCTGATTATTTATCATAGGTCAGGCTTAGTTGCAAGAATTTGCCCCAGGTGAAAAGATGTTTGAAAGTGCTGCACAGTAGATGCTCTGCATGGTTAACTGGATTGCTACAAATTATGCAACATTTCAGATATACATGGAAATAGAGTTTGGAAGAGAGACAAAAAGCAGAACATCTAGATGAAGTCTTGATGCCTTCTGTCAGGCACAAAAAGACATAAAGGGAGAATAAAATATTTATTTATTTTGGAAGGCCAACAGACTGGCAGGTAAATGTGGTTTTTTGAGCCAAGTGGTGGTCAAAGAAGCATATATGACAAACAGGTTCTCTGCTCCCACTTCCAGAAAAAGAATATGGACCTTTATAAATGACTTTGAAAATATATTTTCAATATACTCTTTAGCTTGGATTAATCTAAGTTGCTTTTTGAAAAAAAGGAAATTAAATGTCTTTGGCACAATTGAAAAATATCAGCTTTTCATTGTACCCACCTACTGCACATGAATCCATTTGCTTCTTCTTCTGCACAAGATGGAGAAGGTTTGTTTATGGCAGGAGGAGTAACCTGATCAACAAAGCCCTCCTTGTCTCTCTTGGCTCATATCCACACTGATGCTGTGCTGCTGTTTTTCCCTTTGTAATCTTCCCCCTGCCCCAGCCTCTCCCAAGCTATGAAACACTCCCAAGTTTTTATTATGCTGTTTATGTTGTTACGTAATAAAAGCTGCCTGTGTAAATGTGTCCTTGGAAGATCCTATTCAATGTGTGCTTGAACATATGGGTGAGAGGCCATACAAAGCTTGTAGACGTGTGACTGGCAACGTGAAGATGTTTCAGGCAATAGAGAAGTTGATAATGTAGTTGTTGCATACTGTTATTTTTCATTTAAAGCTGTTTTTATAATTTTAATTCAAACAATCTAAATGTCAGCTTAGCTTACACATCTAGAGGAAACTTTCTCTTGGTGATCAGCCACCACAGACATTCAGCAAGAGGAGACACTGGGTAACACACTTTGTATCCTTACTTAGCCTTACAGCCTCTAACTTGCCTATAAGCTTCTCATTATTTGTACTACACTGGAAGATATATATGGCAAAGTCTTCACTTCTTTCCCTTGAAGACTAGTAAAAGTTGTATAATTAAGAGATTTAAGAGACAGGACTGGATTACCTTCTCTGATTTTTATTTCCATTATTATTATGACTGTAAAGTTCAAGGCTCTTCAATTATGCTTTGACTTATTATCAGTTTGGGCACAGTGCTCATCACCTGGATGTCAGCCACCATGCTGATATGCCTGTGGTTAGGCAGGTGCTGAAGTAAAAGCCTTAAAATGGAGGGTTAATGAAAAGCCTCCCATTGACTTAAATCAGCTCTGGGTGAAGTACTTTTAAGTGATACTAAGGTGCAATGCATGTCTGAACATCTGGATTTTTCCAGGGGACAAATTAAAAAGTCGTCTTCAGCTGCTTCTTACAGTATGGTTATCCTCTTAAGTTCTTCTGTGAGTTTTACTCTGATGTATTTTCTTGACACAATTACAAGTTAAATGTGTCCATTGGGCTGCCTGGCTTACTGATTTAAACCAATTTGCTTCACAGAAAATTGAAGAGGGTACTAGCAATTCATCACTAGCAAAAGTGTGGGCTTTTTTTTGATGATGATGATGATTATGATGATGATGATGATGACGATTACTACTACTGCTGCTTTTTTCACTTAATAAAAAAAAAGAAACCCAAAAAAATCACTAACAGTCAGACAGCATAGGTTATTTTAAATTTGGAATTCACTTCAGGCAGTAAGGAATTTCAGCCTGCAGCACAGGCTGTGAATTTACCTGGTAGAGGTGCACCTTAAGCAGGAACTTAAGCAGTCATGAATAAAACCACTGCAAAACATTGCTTAAAACAAATATCTTCAGAATTAGACAAGAGCACATTTAAGTCAACACACAGAAACTTGAATTCAAATATTAATTATTTTTGTAGTGGAATTTATGCATTCAGATAACCAAGTGACTTCATTAAATTATAAAGCCTGAGCCTGGTTTCATTCATATTAGTCAAACATTGCAGAAACATCTCTGATATTGTTCAGAAGTTTATGGAATGGATGAGCTGGGTAGATGAGATCAGTCTCTGAAGCTACAGATTTTTTTAAACTCATAGATTTTATCTTGCCTAGGTTTAGAGTAAGATAAGGAAATGAAATACCATGGCTTTTGAATTCCTTGATGATTTTCACTCAGTCCTGACAGATTTGCTGAAGCTTTCTGAGAGTGAAATGGTATTGGATAAGCTGAGTACCTGTTATTTAAATAAGGTTGTTCTTTTAAGCAGGACATACACATTATAGGTGTACAGTTAGGCAAAAAAAAAAAAAAAGAGCCAGACAAAACCTCTCTGCTCAGAACATATATTTTTATATGATTTCTTAAACCATATCCTCTCCTTCAAACACCACTCCAACCTGTGTTTTTCGTTCAGGGTAGCACAGGGAGAGTTTTGATGCCTTAAAAATCTCACTGAAGACTTCTGCCGTTACTGACCCAATCTGAAAGCTATGCTGATTTTTCAGTGCTGTCTGGAAGCATATCCCTGCTAAGAGGAGTACTTAATTATACTTCAGAGTATTCTGCTACTGTGCCCTATAGTTAGCCAGAATTCAAGATCATATGAGGCTGCTTTGATTATACAGAAGCTGAGATAAACATGTTCTTTATGCAATGCTATTTAAAAACACCTTTTATACAGTGCTGTTTCCAGAACAACAGAAAGACAAGTTCCAAGTGAGCCTGGGTTTGAGAAGCTCAATCTCTGCCTCCTTTAAGTGCTCTGTTTGCAGCTCTTCACACTGACCCTCTTTATTCTCATTGCAAGGAGCCACTGCTGGGACCACTGGAGTGGCAATGACACTCACCTCCTGCAGGTATGGTACAGCATTAAGCAACCCCTCTCCCCACCTTTCTCTCTTCCACACCTACACATCACCAGCACTTGTCAGACTAAAAGGTAAACTGAGCTGTGGCATAGATCCAGCTTAAGAACAATAAACCTAACAATAAAGAAGGGATTTGAATGGGGGAAGTGGTCCCATTTGTCAGCTGGTTACACAAACACTTGTTCTGGTGTGAAGGCAGAGGTTGGTGGGAGGAATGAGTGAATGTCTAAAGATGGGAATGCACAGTGCTTGGGCTGGCATGGCCATGTAAATACATTAAAACTGCATCCTAACTTTTTAATAAGGAAAATACTTCTTAATCCATCAGTGTTAGCTCTGACCTGCTATGAGGTCAACTATTTTGGGTGGCCCCCATTGTGTGAGCTGCTGGTTCTGCCTGACAAAAATGCTTGGTTGGACTTTCTCTAGATCCTGAGTACTTGCTGTTTAAAGGAGCTTTCTCTTGTCTTAGGATTTAAGCTTTGCATTCTGACAGCCATTTTGGCTTTTCCATATAGAAACACCTTTAACACACACTGTGCTGTAAAAGCTGTTAGCTCTTTTGCAAGAAATATAATAATCATGGAAGTATGCATTTTCTAGTAAACTCTAGAACCAAGTGCAGTGATTTGTGGTGCGAGTCTCTGGATTCCAAAACCTGGTATTTCTGTGGGATTCCTTTTTTGGTTTTCTTCACCTGGAAACTGTGTGGAAGAGACAGATTGTTGCAGGGCTACATCCAATGAGAAAAGTAAAGTTTGTGCAATTGAGTGAAAACTGAATTCAAGAAACTGCTGTGGTCAAGATTCCATTGATTCTATGTTTCTATGACTAGGCTAAACAATGTCACTAGCCCTTATATATGAGCTTTCTCCAAGCATATTCTGGCATGCCAGTAGGTTCAAACTGTCTTGCTAAAATCAATCACTTTTACCAGCAATTACTGTGTTGAATCACTGTGAACTTTAATTTTCAACTCACTTTCAAAGTTAGAACTTAGAAGGAATTGCCTTCATTCAGCTAAGCTTGACTTATGAAATCATATATGACTCAGCCTGTATGCTCCCTTGTAAAGAGCTCAGAGACTGATATTTGAAACTCATAAAATGAGAGGGCTTATTTACTGTGTTCACTGAAGCTCATTTGCATCAAATATTTAAATTTGAATAGCAGCGTTTTTTGAAAGAAAGAAATAATAACTAAGATCTGAAATGTGAAATTGTATTAACCAAGGTTTTAACTGACTCCCTAAGGTATAGATGTGCACTTTATATTAGTATCCAGTCTGGAGATCTTTTAACTGAATGTATTAGCAAACATATATCTTGTTTCCACATTACAACATTTGCATATAAATGTGTCATAAATGCATATAAACCTATTGTTAGACATACTGGAAAGATCACTTTGAATAAAGTGACTGAATTAAAAATCTAGAGGTTTTTAGAATACAGTAACTTCTTGACATTTCCAAACTTTCACAGTAAAATATAACTGGACTTTGATATAGTGTATTCTGTCACATTTCTAAAAAGAAACGGCCATAGCCTGGTATTTTGACTAATTGTTACAGTGATTGACAAGGGTGTTGGCCAACCAAATAACTCCCAAAGCTGCAGCCACCTCACTGGCCAGGACCTGAAGGGCTGTGGGGTTCAAGCCAATGAAAGCATCCAGACCGGGTCTTTCAAATGCCCTCTATAAGGGAGGGCTGGGGAAAGAAAAGCTCTCTCAGCCACAGAGACTTTGGGATGAGTGGTCTCTGTCTCCTGTGTCTCTGCCCCCACATGTGACCTGACAAATCAGCCTTTTCCTCAGTAAGTTTGCTTTCATAATATGGATATAAAATCTGGGAGATAAGGATGGAGTTCCTCTCTGGGTTCATTATGAAGTTTGCCAGAAGAAAGGGGGAGAAAAGGAGGTGCTGATTTTCCTTTGTGTTCCAGGACTGTTGGTATTTTGCTAACACTGGGGTACTGCTGGGTGTTCTCATTTTATTCTGTGGAGTTTTGTTTCATGATTTTCCTTCTGCTCTGTTCCTTTTTAAAAAATATATTACTCTTTCTGCCCAGCCTTTCAGATGATCTTACTAGCTCTCTCACTTAAAACATGAAAATAATTTGATGGCCAGTTTTCTAAAATCTAAGGTTTCTGTTACAATCATGGAAGGTAACTGTGTCTGAATCATAGAGTAGATGAAATAAAACCAACATACTATAATATAACTTTTTAACAGTAGAAATTGATTGTCATCACTAGCCGTTCATATCACAGTCTTAGGTTTTCCCTGCTGATCCCCTTTCGCAGCTTGTTAGAATTGCT